ATTGAATAAGTTCAAAAAGATTGCTTTTGTTTACCTTTGAATCATGGAAAACCTTCCCATTTCGTGCCATCCATATAGTCCACAAAACTGTGTTCCAGATGCAGTCCCACCCTTTTGAAATGTGTGGTTTTGTAGTCCATGTCCCAAAATGTTGAAAGGTTGTCCAGCAATCTCTGTGAAGTGTAAAGTTTGTTCCCCACCAGTTTGCACATGCTATCCACAATCTTCTAGCTACTCTGCATTCTAAGAACAGGTGGTCAGCATCTTCGGTCTCTTCCTCGCATAAGACACAATTCCCTTCAGCCATATCTTTGATAACTCCCTTTTTGATCAAATTTAACTTGGTTGGGATTCTGTCCAGCAATGATTTCCAATTAAACACAGCCACTTTACTAAGGACGATGGGATTCCACACCCTTTTAAAGATTTTTTCTTCCTCTGGGTTCTTCCTTAGCATTGAAAGCCTTTGATAAGCTATTTTTGTTGAATATTGGCCTTCCTTGCTGAGACTCCATTCCCATCTATTTGGGTAGCCTGGTGTGATCTTCACTTCTTCAATCATCCCTTTTAGTTCTCGAGCTGCTTCTTCTTCCCATTCAAACAATTTCCTTCTCCATGTTAAATTCCATTTCCATGTGGCCCTCTCCACTTTACCCATTTCATGACATTCTTTTCCTTTCCCTGTTGACAGTAAATACAACCTAGGAAATTTGTTGGCTAAACACTCCTCCCCGCACCATGAATCCCACCAGAATTTAATACCTCTCCCTTCCCCTATCTTCAGCCTAAAATCCTCCCACAACCATCTCGCGTTCACTCCCTCCCCGGCCTTGAGTCTTCGGACATCTCTCCACCATAGCGATCCTATGTTCCTGCCATCACGCACCCAATCCAGCCAGTGTCCCCCTTCTGCTCCGTATTTTCCTACAATGACACTCTTCCACAAGCCCTCTTCCATATTTGCCAACCTACTCAACCATTTTCCCATCAATGCCACATTAAATTTCTTCAAGTCTTTTACTCCTAAACCTCCCTCCTCCTTTGATCTACATACCCTCTCCCAACTAACCCAAGTAATTTTCTTCCCCTCTCCCTCCCCTCCCCATAAAAAGTTTCTCCGAATTTTATCTAAGGAGTAAAGAATACCTTTGGGTAATAGGTAGGCTGACATTTGGAACACCGGTAAGCTGGACAATACAGAGTTTATCAGCGCGATTCGACCCCCCATTGATAAGTCTCGGCCCTTCCAACTTGCTAGCTTCTTTTTGAAGGAGTTCACCAGTGGCTGCCACATTGTTAGCTTTCTATGATTCCCTCCAATTTGAACTCCTAGATACTTAACAGGGAGCTCGCCTTCTTTGCAGTGGAGAGTGTAGGCCATTCTCTTTTTCCAATCTTCCTCAACCCCGATACCCATTAGCTGACTTTTACCATAGTTAATCTTAAGTCCCGAAGCTAACTCAAAGGTCCTCAAAATGCATTTGATAACTTGAATGTTTTCCTTTGATGCTTCGCCAAAAAATATCGTGTCGTCTGCAAACTGGAGGTGTGATACCGACACTTCTTCGTTTCCAATCCTCACCCCCTTGTAGAGATTTTTACCCACCGCAGATAACATTAAGCCATTCAATCCCTCCGCTACTATTAGAAACAAGAAGGGCGATAGTGGATCTCCTTGCCTTATCCCTTTACTAACCGGGAACTGCCTTGTGGGGCTTCCATTAATGAGGATTGAAACTGTGCTTGACTGTAGACATTCCTTCATCCATTTTCTCCATGTGGCAGTAAATCCCATTCTCAACAGCATGTAGTCAATAAAATCCCAGCATACATTGTCATATGCTTTTTCGAAGTCAACCTTGAGTAGAAAGCTGTTTTTCTTCTTTCTCTTTGCCTCCTCAATCACCTCATTAGCGATGATCACCCCATCCAGCAGCTGTCTACCTTTAATGAATGCCATTTGCTGCTCCCCGATGATCTTATCCAGAACTTTCCTCAGTCGGTTAGCTAGCAGCTTTGCCAAGATCTTATACATAACTCCAATGAGCGAGATTGGCCTATAATCTTCAATTCTTTGGGGATTCTCAATCTTCGGGATTAAGACTATGAAAGATGCATTTGCTCCTTTTTCTATCTTGCCTCGCTCGTGGAATTCCTGGATATAGCCAATAATATCTTGTTTGATGACCTCCCACATAGCCTTTATAAACTTGAAATTAAACCCATCAGGCCCTGGGGATTTTGTTGGCTCACAATCCCACACTGCATTCTTGATTTCATCCTCAGAAAACTCAGCCATAAGGGATTCATTGTCTGCATGGGATAGTTGTTTGAAGTTGATGCCATCCAGCTTTGGTCTCAGCCAGTTACTTTCTGTGAACAAATCTTGAAAATACCTTGCCACTCCTTCTTTTAACTCCCCCACCTCCCGAATCTGTTTCCCATTCACCTGGATGCTATTAATCTCATTTCTTCTCCATCTGCCCTTCACACAATTATGGAAAAATCTTGTGTTAGCATCCCCATCTCTTAACCACATCTTCCTTGATTTCTGCTGCCACATTCTCTCCTTGATTTTCAAGTTCTCCCACAGATCTAAGAAGCAGTCTTTCCTCTTGTTTGCATCTTCTTCCGATAATTGGACGGTTTCTCCTTTCTCATCCAGAGAAGCTATCATCTTTTCAGCATCTTTTATCTTGCGGTCTACTTCCGACATGTGGTTGCCACTCCACTCCTTCAAGGCTTTTTTGGTTCCTTTCAATTTCTCTTTCAGTCTGAAACCCTTTCTCCCATCTTCCCCTGTAGAATTCCATGCCTTTCTTATCAGCTCCTTACATTCATGCTGCTCCAGCCACACATTGAAGAATTTAAACGGCTTTGGTCCCCAGTCTATTTTTTCATTTTTCAGGATATCTTTGGGGGGGCCAATTGCAAAATTATAAAAGAAGAAAATTAAAATATCAAATTACATCTCTAACTTAAAACATTGAAGAAGATGGATTTTGCTAGAGTTATAATATACAAAAAGAGACTAAACTTTTATTATAAAAACTAAAATCACATGCCTTAAGTTTATAAAAATTACCTAAATTTTATGTGATTACTCATAGATTTTAGTTTCAAACAAAATCATTATTACAAAATATTAATATAAATTAACCAATAAAACTAAGATGTTTTAAAGATTTTTTTTTTTTATGTTTGCACATTACAAAGGTTTATACTAATATAAATCAAGATTGATAACTTAGTGGGTACTAGATACCAATTCAGTCAAATTTTTATTAGTGAAGATATTTTAAATAATTAACATACCAAATTCTAGTCATTTGTATTATGAAGATATGATTAGAGTTTATGATCCCATGCTATTAGATAATTTTCAATAAAATTAATTATTGCATTTGTATCCAAATTAATTCTAGTCATTTGCAGGGTGTAATCCTTAGTTAGGGGATAAAATAGCCCACAATTCTTTAATAACTAATTAAAATTATGATAACAATTAGAGATATTATAGAAATTAACATTTTACCTTATTTATAAGTAGTGGTCTTCTACACCAAAAAACAAACTTACCATTCACCTATAACCAATTACATGTACAAAATAAAGAAAATTTTATCTTTTCCTTAAATATTAACAAAGAAAAATGAAAGGTGAGACATAATAATACAAAATAATTTTAAAATTTTTTGTAGGGATACTATGTTAACCATTAAAGCCAAATTTAACTGAAATTAAAACGAATGAAACTAAGAGATATAATCTAATAATTTCTCAAATAATTAATAAATTCTTATTTTATATTTAAAATCTTAAGGTCTATTTATATTTTTTAAAAGTATGGGGTGCTAATTAAAAAATTTCCAAAAGACCAGCGGGGCCGTGGCCCTTCCTAGTCTATATGTGGCTCCGCCACTACATGAATGGTAAGGTAAATGATAGGAGAGGATTGGCTCTTATTATATCATCTAAAATAATAATAAAAAAAATCAATTATCATTTATATATTATAATAAAAAAAAGTGAAAATCAAAATAACATGATACTTTAAATGTTAGGATTTTTTTGTGGAATTATTAAATATTTTTAATAATTTTTTTTATATGTTGATTAATTAAGGGTATTTTAATTTTGTATATTATTGTTTTAACATTTTAATTTTCAATAAGTATTGATTTTTTTAATCCCTTATAAAAAAATTATTACTAATATCTTTATGAAAAAAAATATATTTTTTTTAAAAGCAGAGAAAGCAATTATAAACTATTATTAATGCATGAATCTTGAAAATCCACAATTAATGCAAGAATTTCAACGACGACAACGATACATAATCCAGAACAAAGATGGTACCAATCTTGCAATCACTAATCATGATCAAACTAATCCGTCTGGGCAAAGTATACTTGTGAAAACATTTTAAGTCTGTCTTGAATAAGCTGCTACTACAAAACTCAACCAGCAACGATAATGTCCGCAACTCAATTGTCCTAGACAATCACGCCTCTCATGTTCAAGAAAACAAAACAAACAGACAACACAACCCCCATCCCCATTAATAATACTCTCTTTAAAGTCAACAAAACATTACCCACGAGCACGACCAAATTTCTACCCTCATTAATTACGCTTTTCAAAATTCATATATATAGTCTCATTGCCTCCTGTGAGTTTCCCATTCAACCAAAGTTGTGCTTGGTCGAGAGGGGAAAAAGAATGGCTAGATCTCGTAGCAGGTCACCCCGGTTAACCATTGCCCGGTCTGCTGCCTGTGGTCGAGTCTGCTCGCCGTCTCTCGGATGCATTACAAGTTCATTTGATGGGGTTGAAAATGATCAGGAAGATGAGTTTTTGAGAAAGGAGGTAGTGGAGGAGGAGGAGGAGGCAATCAGCAAGGAGGCTGTGGGCAGTGGTGGCAATAAGGTCATGGTGGTGGTTGATTCGAGTGTCGAAGCCAAATGGGCACTTGAATGGGCCTTGTCTCATGCTGTTCAAGCCCATGATATTATTGTTTTTCTTCATGTGTGCAAGTCCACAAAAAACGGTTAGTTTCTACTTAAAGCTTAGCCTCGTTTTATATTCACTAACTCGATGAGAGTCTTAATTTTTGGAATTTTTTTTTATGTAAAAATAATAATAATAAAGAACTGATGTCAAGATTGGGATTCTAACCCATGCCCTTTCGGACCAGTACCTGAAACTGGCGCCTTAGACCAACTCGGCCATCTTGACATATGGTTGTGAAGATGTCTTAGTTACTAACTCTTTGTGGGAATCAATGCAGTCTCCAGGGGGATGAGGAGTGCTAGAGTTTATGATTTGCTCCGATCAATGAAAAATATGTGTCAGAAGAGAAGCCCTGGGGTGAGTGCTAATGCACAACCATATCATACCATATCACTTAGAGACTTCATTTTCTAGTAGAGCCCTGGATGTTGATGTTTTGTTGCACTGTGTATAGGTGCAAGTGGAGGTCATGATGGTGGAGGGAGAGGAAAAGGGTCCAGCGATTGTAGAAGCAGCAAAGCAGCTGAAGGTGTCACTTCTGGTGCTAGGGCAAAGGAAGAGACGGAGGATGTGGCGGCTGTTAAAGAGGTGGGCATGGAAAGGAGGTCTGGGAGGTGGCTGCAGCAGCCACTTAGTGGATTACTGCATCCAGAACGCTTCATGCATGACATTTTCTGTGAGGAGGATGAGCAAGGAACTAGGAGGGTACTTGATCACCACCAAGCATCACAAAAACTTTTGGCTTTTGGCTTAACTATGGAAAAATAAAGTTGACATTTCTGATGGAATTTCTCGCTTGTAATCTAAAGTATACTAGTACAATGAATCCTGTATGAATTCTGCAGTAAACAAACCAAAAATCCAAAATATGCAACTTGCAGAAAAAATGGAACTTGTAATGGTTAATTTATTTCTGAAATTTGCCATCTATCGTTTCAAAAATAAATCAATGTGTTAATAGTGAACTATACAGATCATATACAGTGGCCGGTCATCTTCTAATTTCAGAGAAAGAAGACTGTCCTACCAAATTTACATTTCCTTCCCAGACTGCCAGACATTCTTGGCCCCAACTGACCAAATCCAACCCGATTTTTCATTCCTCCTCAAACATGTGTAAGAATCAACTTGGAAGCTTTGCTAGTATAGAAATACTGTATCTATGGCTTTCATTTCAATGTACCTTGATGTTGCTAAAAAATATATCCACGTCTTAATGCAAACCGGTGTAGTTGGTCATATCCTGCAAGTACTCCGGCCCCTGCCATACCAAGAAGCATATTTGCAGTAACACCACGAAAAAGTGCAGTGAATCCCTCTAGGCAAATAATCTCCTGTAAAGCATGAATGGAATTGCGATATTTTACAGGTTGTCCAGAGGTCAGCATCATTCTCCGCCGCACAGTGTCAAAGGGATACGCACAAACCCCAGAAACAGTGGTGATACTCCAACCAAGCAGGAAACTAGCGAAGAAATTCCCCTAGAAGGAACATATGAATAGCATCAAATGTCAGGACAAAAACTTTTGAGGACATCATGGAAATGAATTTCACACTTGCAAGTGACATTACTAATTGTTACCACCAACTGATTATTTTACTAGACTCAACTTCTATGAAAGGCTTTTAAAGAGGTTTCAATAATAGAGGTTTATGAATCATCTTAACTCCATAATGCAACAGAATGCAGCTATCTTGAGGACATAGTTCCCAAAGAAAGGCTTTAAATGCTAACCTCAAGAGGTCCAACCAAAATGATAGGCTTCATTGTGTCATAGATCCCAAAATACATGCCTCGATACATAGTGATTCCCATGATTGAAATCCCAAATCCACGATATAAGCCTACAATGCCGTCACTTGACAATGTTTTATGGTATACATCCAAAAGCCCTTTGAACTGCCGTTGACCATTAGCTGAGCATTGTATTGAATCCATGCCAAGCCTGGTCCGTGCATAATCTAAATGATACAGCAACAATGATGTAGTAGCCCCAGCAGCACTTCCTGAAGCCACATTTCCAGCAAACCGCTTCAGGTAACCATCTTTCTCTTTTGAGCATCCAAAATAGCTTTTAAAGTAACCTTTAAATGCAAAGTTGAAAGCCTATGAACAATTGAACATCTACTCAGCATACAACTATGTAACATATAAATGATAACATGAAATTTTACAATGGCCATGGAACAGCACAGGCAGCTAAACATCAATTATCATATTTGTTGCTGGAGCATTTAACTTTGGCTTGTAAAAATAAAGACCCAAAGTAACATATCTTTCACAATTGTCAAAATGGAAAATAACCTGAGCAACATCAACTTTTTTTGATGGTCCAGCAGACCCAAAAGAACCAGAATACCAGATAGAAGTTATAACTTGGTGTTGAAAAGATAACAATTTTGGAGGATGATTGACCCATTTGCTTCTAGATAACAGGTCAGAGCCTGAAAAATTGTAGAATTGCATCTCATGGTCTCCTCACTGCAATAAACATTTTCACCTTGATTTTGGATCCTTTTCTCCTTGATTTTGGATCCTTTTCTACCCAAGTATTTCATTCCCCTTGACAGAGGTGGACATCACAAGACAAACTAAGATTACGATGTAAAAGTGTAAAACACTTGAAAAATGACAGAAAACATACTTTGAAAGAGAAGAAATATCATGTCATCTCAATGCTCTGCCAAATATGCTTGAATTTTTCAATCTATCTTTTCCACCAGATTAGCAATAAAGATTGCAAACTCAAGTAGAGCATTTTACAACAAAAATTAGCCAGTTTTTCCACAATAGAAGTCATTTCTTTTCCAATACCAACAATTAAATAATGGTCTTTCCATCTTATGCTACAGTGTGAGTGTATATATATATATATATATATATATATCAGCCTTTCCATCAAATTTATACTTTACCCCGTCACCTAACAATATTATCAACTGAAATCTCCTAGGTCACGCGCAGATGAAATGTGAGCTACTATAAGGTTATGGCTGGCACACCCGACCATTTCTCAGAAAAGATACCGAGTAATCTCAGCCAGCATTGAGCAAGATAACTAGTAGAACTCAAAATAATACCTTAGAAGTCACATGAACTTTAATGTGATGTCACTTATATCGTTTTCTAGCCAAAAACAACGTGATGTCACTTAAATGCAAGCTAGTCCCCTAAACATACAGTTGCAAAAGAGGGTCATTGACACAAGAAAATGTTTTCAGCAGTCTTATATTGATAACTCAACTGAAGAAAAAATTAAATGAATGAGTTAGGGGCTAGAGATGCTATACCTGGGTAGGAAAATATCTTATGACATTGGCTTGGTTACCCCTCCAAAATGAGATCAAGCCTTCCTCTCTCAAAACCCTTCTAAAACAATCACCAACACCCACATAAGGTCTCTTCAGCTGTCCCCTCTTAACCATCTCCCCTTGATTCTGCAACAACAGCTTCACTCTCTCAATGGGTGCCACAGCACTCTTTGATATCACTGCAGCTACTCCTCCCATCACAAAATCACCCGAAAATTTCACGGATTGCCTGCCTGTTTCCATTTTTCTATATCCCCTTCCTTCCCTCTATCTATCTCTCTACAAATGCAATGTGATGGTCACAGTCATAATTTCATTGCAAAAGAATACCAACATATGAAACTAAAAATACCCAAAAAAGATTTGGCTTTGAAAAACATAATAGCAAAAAGTAAACACCTTTGTACGTTAAATCAAACCAAAAATGGTCCCATCAATCTGGGTATCCCGCATTCAAATTCTCTCCTTCCATTACTTAGGTGTGAATTCTAGCATTAAGATTTAATATTCAAACTTATGCATTAAAACTACAGAAAATTATAGGAGAAATTTGAGATTTTAGCAGGTAAACTACCATATTACAATAAAGCTAACAAGTTAACCATTTAAGAATTAACCCCAGAAAAAAAATGAAATTATCAAAGTAAAACAAAAAAAAAATGGAAATAAAATGAGAACAAAAAATAAATACCTTTAGATTTACAGAAGGAAAGCAAATTCCTGAGAGACAGAAAGAGAGAACGAAGCTGATTCTTCTTGTTTTGGTCTTGGGAGGTGAAGCCGTGAACGAGAGAAAAGACTCAAAAGAGGCTATTCGAAATTTCTGAAATCGAAAATCTGGTAAATTACAGCGGCTGTCCTTGTAATTCTGAACAATTCAAGATATCTCCCGTGAAATAGGAGAAATATTCATTTGTACTCTTATTTTCCTATAGTCACACTTAACATTCTAAATTTTGACCGTCGATATTGCAAAACATTTATCATTAGATAAAGCCATAGAGGGGCAAACTCCACAAGCAAGGTCCCTCGTCATCTGATGCTTAATGACATGCTTTCTTATTACTTATTGGTTTTTAATCAAATTGATAGATTATACAAAACTTTTTTCCCTAAATTATACCAAGTGAAACTCTAGATTAGATAGTTTTAAAAAATTATATTTCAAAAAAATATAATGTAATTTGTATTGTATAAATTACACAATTTAAATTATTAGATAGAGACAATTTTCATTATCTAATCATTCTTATTTTGTAATTTAAGTTACAAAATAAAATACATATTATATTATCAATTATCCCTTTATTTAATTGAACTCTAAAAAGTCTAATCAATGGTAAGAGCCATTGTGGCCTTAGCTCTAGTGGTTAAGAATCTAAAAAATTGAGGCCTCATTACTTTTTGACTCCCAAAAATAACAAATTTTTTCCAAAGTTTTCTAGGTTTTTTTGTGTAGTATGTGCTCAGTGCTATCTCTGTGTACCTTGTATACTTCACCTTGTAATCTATATCAAATATTAAACTCTAATCTAATCAATAAAGGGAGGACAGCAAGATAGTTACAACTATTTTTTTCATGTTCAAATCTAACTCATCTAAAAACGAAAAAAAAGGTGCAATAAGAATATGAATTTATCTTTTTTTCTATTTAAGAATATAAACTTTGTTGGTTTTGAAATAAAACGGTAAATTTTTATTTTTTTATTTAAAAATATTAATTTTTTATTTTTTATTTAAAAATTAATTAGATGATTAAAAAAATTATTTATCA